TGCCAACATGGAGGCATTATTGTGATAATTAAATTATGCATTTATGCGAAATGCCTAGAACAATGAGGTCTTACTTAATGTTAGCCCCATGAGGCTCTTCCAGGGAAAAGTAGCATGAACTAAGCACTGAATTTGTATTTAATGGATCTTCATTAATTGATAAACAACCTAGCATTTCTACAAATGAAGAATTAGAGGAGTCCAAGGAACCTCAGCAGAGATTTAAGGGAAAAGTTCTTTCTTTCTGCATTTACTTATCATTTCCACCCTGTGATTTCCAAAGTTATGCATGAATGCAACAAAATTTGGCTAGAAAATCAATCCAACAATCAGAAACCTTGTTATGCTCAGAATGGCCCTTGAGCTCTTACACTGAGCCCTGGGTCTACCTATGTTGGTGTTTGCCTTCCTGTAGGATGTGGTAGGGTGGTTGTTCCAGGAAGCCAGGGACGCCTGAAGGTCCTTTCTAGAGAGAATGGACTTCTATGGGAACAACCTCCACAGCTGTAACTCCCCAGACACCAGATGAGTTCGAATATCAACTATGTTTATATGTTGAGGTTTTTCCTCAGAAGCTACTTCTTGGCAGTCATGAAAATTGCCCAAATGGGGACATAAACCCAGCTGACACTGAGCCTCTGAAACACAGCACAGAACTCAATTCATACTCACACCAAGATTCCCCTTTCCAGAGTCCTCATGTGATGTGTGAGAGAGACAACAGCTAATGGAGAGAGGCTCATAATGTGCTTCCTGGAGGAGATAGGACATAAAATGAAAAGCAATTAGCATGAGGTGAGCCCCTCTCAGTGGCCCAGAGTCAAACTGCCCAAGGCCCACACACAAACAGGTGCTAAGCTATAAAAAATCAGAAATGCTTATGTCAGTTAACCTAGGTTTTCATAGGAGCTCTCATATAATTCATAAAAAGTACATGGATTTTGATCCATTACAAGAGACAGTGCCCTGTCTCTTTATAAAACAAACACATACCTACTGTGATGGTGTTAAACAGTCTCTCTTATGTTTTGGGGTTTGCGGATGTATGTGCAAGCTTCATTGTCAACCTCAGGCCTTGACACCATCCTGAGACTAGCTGTATGACAGGAGCCTGAACTTGGCAATCACCACCCTCCAAAAGGAGGACACCAAATACCACCCAGTATTAGGATGCTGACCCAGGACCAGCAATTTTTTTTAATCAAAATAATGAAGTTATTTTGTTCAAAAAATTTTAAAAGAAAACCAATGAGAGAGCAAGAACAGCAGGAAAGTGGTTAAGCCAGGTTTTATCATCTTTTTTTAATTTTTTAATTTTTTTGCTTTTTTGCTTTTCTAACACATTGTCTCAGCTTTAGAGAAAACTGAATGCATCTGTGTAGAATGTTTACTCATAAGAAATCAGTTTCTCCAGTGAAAAGTGGGTGACAGGTACTCCATGGGATCTCTCTGTATGATTTTGGCAACTGCTTGTGAGTCTATAATTACTCCAAAATAAAAATTGTTTAAATAAGACAATAATTTTCAAAGTATAGATACGAATTTCAGTTTCTCCTTATGTGTGTTAAATTCAAGTTGAAAAAATATTTAAAGAACTCTTTGAATGGGCTCCAGGTTGTTGACATGTGGTTGCACCTTTTCTTCTACCTACATTTATGAGGTAAATTTATCATTTTGTGCACTGGAAATGCTATGAGGTTAGTAGTACAACGCTCCTTTTTAAAGGTGAGAAATGAAAGTATCAGTTAAGTTAGATAACTTGCTGGAAGTCATTCAATTAGTGGAGCCAGAAGGGATTTGAACAAAGCCAGAGTAATTCCAAGTCCCGACAGTCTTGCAGTTCTGTCTCCCAGCAGGGCCTACAAAAGCCAGTAAAAGCTTTCTTTCCCTCCATCCTAGGAACTGTGGTCCTGCTTGAACATAATTAGGTCTTGAAAGTCTTGCTTTCTGGTTTTTTGTGTTTATTTGGTTTTTGATTTTTTTTCCTGTGATTCTTCCATACAATATACCCAAGGTCTTCATATGCTGAGTGGACTAGCCAGGGAGTAAAATCTTGACAAAATCACTGTGTCAAGCGTTGACAGAAATGTCCCTTTCAGACCCACAGGCATCTCATCCCATACACTGCATCTTTTGTTCACAGATGTGGTGGATCACTCATCCATCAGTAGTGTTTCTGGAGGCCGCATATTACGCTTTAGTGGCACTGCAAGAGGGCCCCAGGGAAAACTAAGGGACTGATATTAATTAGATGCCAGACACAGTACTAGACACTCTGCAGGAGGCAAGCAATGTAATCTTCACAGTAAAGATTATCCTTCCCAATTTACAGATGCAACAGAATGGTCAAGTCCTTGGCCCAAAGCCAGGTAGACTTCCAGTGACACATCTTGGGAAATTTGATCTGGCCATTAAAACCCAAACTCCTCTGGATTTTTCCCATACTCCTCCAGTATTACTCAGGGTCCATGGACCCAGTAAACTATGTAGGCAGGGGGTGGAGTGTGATGGGCAGGAGATAAGAACTCATGAAGTAATTAACACAAAATAAATTGTCACCCAAATCAAAGACAACTGTGAGGGAGTCCTCCTCTTGGGGGGATATAAAGTGGACAGCAAAAAAGAGGGAGATGTGGATGGGAACCCGTGGGTGGCTGGTTCAGACTCAAAGAACACAGCCAGTCTTTCTAGCTGCTTCTGCACCGTGCTCTCCCTGTTGTCTCTGCCTTTCAGTCACCTTTGCTTTTTGAGGTTCCTCCAGTGAGCTACATATGCTGTCTCTTCCATCCTGGCATTTAGATATACAGTTGCTTTGGCCTGGAACATTCTCCCTGACCTTTACTCACCCCTTCTCCTCTCCCTCCGGCTCTTTTCCCTACTTTGTTCCATTCTCCCTCCCTCCCTCTCCCCTTCCCTCCCTTCCTTCCTTTTATCCTGCCTTCTTTCCCTCACATTCTCTCCCCCGCTCCCTTTCCCCTCTTTTGGTCTAGCAAATTCCAACTCATCATCAAAGACCTCTAATATCACCCCGTCCCAAAGGGAGTCAGTCTTCCCTGAGCCCCCAGAGTAGAATAAATACCACCTACACTATTAAGCACATTCTTGTTATACCAAACTATCTCCAGTTCTTCTTTGGTAAAAAGCAGGGATTTTTCATATCACCAAGGTTTGAGCTCCCACTGCGGTCCAGCTACTAGCTAGATCCCAACATGGGCATTAGATTATTTCCCAAAGAAGGCCACGGTACCTCCCTTCCCCAGATCTGTCCCTTGAGTGATTTTCTCCCACATTCATTCTGGACTTGCCCTTGTGATTTGCTTTGGTTAAGGGGACCATAGCAAACAGGATGCAAGCAGAGACTTGAAGTCTTGAGCCTTGAGACTTTCCCTCTCTGCTGCATTCTCTGCTGCCCTGAGGCCACCACGTATTTGGGCCTGAGCTAGCCTGCTGGATGATAAGAAGCCAAGTGGAGAACTGAGGCACCTAGCTGACTTCCCGCCAACCAACAGAAACATGACTATAAGGACCCCATGTCCTCTAGCTACCTGCCAGCGCACAGAGATTCATATGTTAAAACCCTAACATCTAGTGCCTCAGACAGTGTCTTCAAATGGTAATCAAGTGAAAATGAGGTCATGAGGGTGGGCCCTACTCCCTTGTGACTGGTATCCTTATAAGAAGGGGAAATGTGGACACAGGCATAGGAAGAAGGCCAAGTGAGGATGAAGACCACCGTCTCCAAGGCAAAGACAGAGGCCCGGAACAGACCTGATCCTCACGGCCAGAAGGAACCAATCCTGCCAACACATCGATTCAGACTGCTGGCTTCCAGAACTGGGAGAAAATGCATTTGTGTTGCTTTAGCAGCCCACTTTGTAGAACTTTGCTACTGCAGGCCCAGGAAACTAACACAGGCCCAGACCAAGTGAGCCAAACCGTAGTGAACTCAGGGAATTGGCTACTCTTTTAAGCCCCTGGTGCATCAAAAGCTAATTGATAAAGTGGGTGAAATACTTGAATTTCCCTAGGCTTCAGTTTCCACAATCACAAAAAGGGTTTAAATGTCTTTTCCTCACATTATTATCAGTAAGATTTAGTAGGATAATGGCTGCAAATTGCTCAGCACAGTTCCTGGCACATAATTAACATTTAATGAGTGCTTACTTTAACATTACCTTTGGGTTATCTGTCAAGTCAAAACGAGAATTATCTACCCAAGAAAAGATAAACTTCTACCTTTGAGTTTATCTTAAATGATGTTGGGATTTATTATGGAATTCAACATCACTTTATATAAAACCAGAGGGTCAAGTGGCAAGTACTGGATTATAGAAGGAACTTGTAAGAACTTACTGCCAGCTTAAATAAACCAGAAGTAAGGCAGAGAGAAATTAAATATGCTGAGCACCCAGTATGTGCCCCAAACCTTGCTACATGTCTTAATTTACATTATTTTGATCATTTCTTGGAACAGCTCTAAAATACAGATATTATTATCCCTGGATCATAGACATGGAAGCTGGTTGACAAACAGCAACTTGTCCAAGATCACACAACTAACAATTAGTACAGCAGGAGTAAGAGCTAGGCATTTCTCTTGCCAGACCCCATGTTCTCTCCATCACACCTGAGGGATCTGGTCCATGTGTCTTGTGTGGTCTCAGGGAGCCATGGGCAACATCAAGTCATAAGATAAATAGCGTTCAGTGCACATGTGAAACAAGACCAACAAAACCCACCTTTGATGCTTGAGTGTTGCTCAGCAATCCATTTTAGTGTATTCTATAATTGTGAAGGGCCACTCAGGGACTCCATGTGTCTTTAAGGACACCCTTTGGGTTGGGAGACCATAGCCTCCAACGGCTTCACATACAGCATTGCACTGAAGAGGAAGTCCTACCCACACACAGGTCCTACCACCCTAATCTGTGGTCACATTTCACAGGAAACCAAACTTAAAACGGACCTAGGAGGGGCTTTCTGTTAAAGGACACTGCTTAGCATTGAGAATCATTCACCCCACTGACTTACGGATTACTGGCTCCCGGAGTTTTCTGCAATGCTGCCACGGTGGCCCCTCACAGGAGACCAGCATCTCAGCACGGGACCTTGTGCTCCTCCACGGCTCTTCAGGTAAACTAAGGAGGCAGCTCCATCTGAGTGGGCATCTCACTGGCATAAATGATCATTAGGAAAGAGCTGACACCAAGCAAAAAAGGATTTTATAACATTCAATGCTGGGCCTTCTATAAAGCATCGAACAGCATAAAGAAAGCCAGCTCCCTTAACTCAGTTTTTAAAGAATCCTTCATTCTGCTAGAAGAAAGAATCAAGATACGTAGCCATTAAAAATTAAAAGACTAGATGTTTTCAATCTTCTCATCCTGGAGCTTGGACCCCCTGACTGTTTGCTACTAAAATCTAAAGGCCAAGCCAGTTGCTGGCTTTCTTGGCTGACCTTCATTAGGACAGCCCCCTAGAAAGGCAGCCTCAATTCAAAGTAGGTCATTGAAAGTAGAAGTTAAATCCTGGAGCCCCTGTGGAGATATATATATATATATACACTTTTTTTTTAATGTTCTAAATTGAAATAATTTCCTTTCTGGTTTGGTGTGATTTTGGAATCATGCTGACCATCCTTCCACTCACAGGGATGAGGAGCCCAAGAGTAAGAGTGAAGGTGGGTACAATATTCACCCTCCAAGATGCCGGGAGACATCTCTGCCAGGTTTTTCTTGGAGAGAACAAACAAAACATAAATGAGTGAGACAGAAAAGAGAGTTAGTGTCCTCAAAGTCTGTCTGCTTTACAAGATAGTGACATGGCTGCAATTTATCAATACTGATTTTTTTATTGTGTGCCAGTGTTACTTATCGGATTATCCTCTTTGTCTCTATTGTAGCATAGACCCTCAATGGTGTTGCTCCATTGGATTCCCAGGGGTACCCTCAAACCACTGGAAATGGTTATTTTAAATCTCAGGAAGACAGCCGTAGGTATCAGGCCAATTGGAGGTCTGCCAGAGAAGTGACAAAACTTCAGAAAGCCTCTGAGAAACTCAAGATAAAATATGCCCCAGAGAAGCAGGAAAGGCAACTGGCATTTACAACTCTGTCTCTTGCTGGCCAGTCTGTATGTATTAACTCATTTGATCTTCACACCCAACCTTGAGAGTTAGGTAGTATTTTCCCCCATTTACAGAGGAACTTGAGTGATCCAAGTAGGTGTTCAAGGTTGTCCAGCCACTAATATCATAAGAGAATTCAAAAGTACCCTGATTGCACCTGAGCTGACCGATAAGAACAATGTTTCTTGGCAGCTTCCTAGGGTTCATCTTGAAGCTGTTCCTGGAGCGGCGTTAGAAATATCTAATGACGGTATTTCTCCTTCTTCCCTCCAAGCCCACTCAGACGACTCCATGAACAAGACCATTCTAAAACCAAAGATTATACTTTCTGTACCATCTGGCTAGTGCTGCCCTTAGCATCAGGGGACCCTGTTTCTAGCTCACTTTGCCATGAGTCAGGTACTCACTTTGCCATGAGTCAGGTGCTGTCCTGGAAAGACTGTGGGGTTTAACATCTGACAAGTTGGTCAAGATCCAAATTCTGCCACTTGGACCAGACATGTTACTTTATCTTCTCCAGTCCTTGATTCCTGCATCTTTAGAATGGACCAAGATCACATAACACTTGCACTGACAGCTATGTAACCTCAATAATATACTATTTATATTAAATGAAATATGGTACATATTTAACACTGAGTAAGCACTCAATAAATGTCAGCTCTTACCCCAAATTAGTGTTGGCCGTATTCCTAAAACATGCCCATAATCACCATGGAGTAATTAATACAGATAAATTTATGAATATTTGATTTTAATAATCTCATTAAACAATAGTAATATGCAACAGTTGCATAGCCTTGTACAAGCAGCCTTAACTAAGTAGACAGGACGACATCAGGTCATTTAAGAGATGTTGCCACTGAGGCTCTGGGAAGTTGACGAGGTGGTACAGCATGGTGAAACAGGAAAAGAAGGAGCTTTGAAGTCAGTCAACACTGTATGTGAATGTGATGTGTGACTTGTGTGTCTTTGGGTAGGTGACTTAACCTCTCTGAGCTTCAGTCAACTGTTGTTGGTTTGTTGTAACACAAAACTGGGTAAAATAATACACTTTGTGACTTGCTGTGAAGATGAAAGCAAATGTACTTATGGTGTCTGACACAGAAATGACATTCAGGAAATGGACAAGTGGTAGGTGAGCGGTGTCACTGCCAAGGTCACACAGTGAGTAGCAGAGCTCGCTCTATAAGTGTCTTTTTATGAACACCCCTATATAAAGCAGTTATGTTCATATGTCAATGATACTTCAATAATAATTTTTTAAAAAGCAGTTATAGGCACCATTGCAGATAATTGCCAAGGTCTACCAGGACCTGAGTTCTGGAGAGTTCCTCCAGGCTATGCCTACCTGTTCTAGCGTGAGAAAGATACAGTGCTCAAAGGGGTTACATCATTAAATAGAGATAACCACTCGAATCTAAAATAGGTTGAAGATTTTTACTGATGGAAACAAAATGTCCAGTGATGTTACAAAGTGAATTATCAATAAGTCTGGAAAGATCTGGTTAAATAAGTTCAGTATCAGTAACTTAAGAAAGAAAAATTACCATGGAAAACAGAACTGTGGAAAAAAGTCATTATGGGAATATACCTTGTGGTTTTTGTTTCATTTGTTACTTTTGTGGATGGAATACATTGGAAATCATCATCACGGTTCACTCTCTTTTTTTAGTAGGGATATTTATTCTTACTCTGTACAAGAGGATGCTGAGGTTCAGAGAGATTCCCTACAATGTACACTTTACACGGTGAATAAGAGGGAAAGCCAAAAATGGGACTCAGGTCTACCTGAGTCCCAAGCTCCTGCTTTGTGCACAAGGTTTAATCAGTACTCTGCTGAATGTGTTCAGGGTCATGATCATAGCATCACTTTCCTTCAAACTAAACAACAGCATTTTAGGACTCCCAGATAGACCACAACAATAGCAAAATCGGTGTATGAGTTTGGTTATTTTTTTTCATTGGTGATGCTAATTGAAAGACTATTTCTGAAACACTTAAGAATGAAAAATAGAAGTCCACTGTGCTGAAATGGCACTGTGCATAGTTATCTGCCATCTAAACCTAGAGGAATCAAAAGATCTGAACATGACATGGAAATTCTATACCCATGTGTTTGAAGACACCTTCCATTGTGGTGGGTTTTCTGTTGAATTTAGTGTGAGATAAATATGAGGGGTGCCTAATAACCCAGACCCAACCTTTGAGAGAATTAAGCCTTTGTGGGGTTCCATCAGACCCATATTTCATCATGGGTTTTGCAGATTTCATCCAAGGCATTCAAAGTTGATGGTACTCAAGGATGTTGTCAATACTGGCATTCTGGCCCATATATCTATCTTCTGTGACTCTGTTCAAGTGTTAAAAGTGTACTTAGGTTGTAAGTTCCTTTCCAGTAGGCAAATCTATGCAGGAAACCAAATTAATGCAGGGAGGTAGCTTCCTGAAAACAAAGTCAGAGCTGGGTCATTACAGTCACTCAACTAACCGAGCTATTGACAATCTGATGTCTTGATAGGCACCTGGGAGCCAGTCTGCCCCATGACTCCTTATGGATATTCATAGGTCAGGTCCCCCTTACTCCTGGGCATGTCCAGGGATCTCCTGACCAGCTCCACCTCTATGGGCTTTCCCCGTAAGAACATTTCCCTAACCCAAACTCCTCCTTCTGTTCCCAAGCTCTTCCTACTACATGGCTCTACCCACTCTTTGAGAAAGAAATAACCTAGGTTTGGGTTCAGACTGTTACTTTCTAGCAGAATGGTTTCAGGCAACTTATCTAACCTCTCAGAATCCCAGGTTATCCTTATAAGATGGAATTGCAATACCCACCTTCTGGACGTGGCGGGGAGGGATGAGATGTGGTATATAAAAATTATGTATTATAGTGCATGGCAATTATTAAAAGCAAAGTAAATGATAGTGGCTATATTATCATTTTTAGCACAATTATCATGAGTTTAATTTACATTCAGGCAAACTTTCATTAGATTCTTTGGCTTCTTTTCCCTCTTTAAGAGTTTTGACCTAAAGAAGTCCTATTTTAAGGTGATTTCTCTCAGAAAGCTAATCTCATCATTTTCGTATTTATTTTAATCATTCATCTATCAAAGCCTCAGTAGTATCTTACAACTCCCCAAATGTACCAATCCTCTGAAAATATTAAAACTTAATGGAAAATGATAGAAACTTCTTTAGAACACTTTCCTTGCCAATTTCAAATCCTCACTGTCCTTCACGGTACTGATAACTTTTAGAAATTGCTCAATAGTTACCTGTTGAACTAGACAACATAACCTTTTTTAGTTGACAAGATACTTTCACTTCCATCATCCCACCTATGAGCAAAGGAGGGTGAGTGTTTATATCCCCTTTTTCAGGCTGGAGAAACAGAGTTGAATTTGCACAGTGCTCTGTACAGTTAGGCACACCCAGGCTGAAAGACTTGCTTCCCATCTTGCCAGGCGAGTGATCCTGAATAAAAGGAGGGGGCAACGAAAGAGTTATATGGAGGAAGCTCAATTCAGGGGTTAAGTTCTAAATGCACTTGAAGTTTTAAAGGAAGCAGTGACCTCATCTGAATCCATACTGTGCATTTGTTCACTAGACATATTTGGCTCAAGAGGGCTCTCGCTGAAAAAAATGACAGAATTGTTCAATATTGAAAAATCTGGGTCATTTGGATTGTTGCCGTAGGATGGAATCTCAAGTAAACAGGGTGTCCTACATAGGGTTCTGGTATTCAGCAGATGGTGTTATTATTATTGTTGTTGTTGTTATTGATTACATTACTCTCAGTCCAGTGTCTATTAGATTACCTGGCTTTTCATGCCCCGTCTTTGGATTTAAAGATGCTCTCAAACTTCTTTGAGACCCACCTTACTGTGAAACAGATCCTCAGAAAATGACCAGCATAGAGCAGGTGCTTAATAAATGACTATTTCAAGAAGACAGTGCTTTCACCATGGGCCTTTAGATGTCCATGGGGGAGGTAGGGTCCCTG